ACAAAATTGAAAAATAAGAAAAACTCAAAAGCAAAATATGCAAAAAATACTATAATAAGCTGAAATCAGACAAATCTTAAAATGGCAGCTACAAAAAGACGACAGAATGACCGAAAAACGTCGAAAAAGAGACTGAAAAAAGCGAAATTAAGTAGAGAAAATGGGAAATTAATAGCAAATTTTGGTAATTTAAGTCAAGTAGACCCGGAAAGATGACGAATTAAAACTCACAAGAAAATAAAAACGAAAACTACGAAATTGAAAAAGAAAAAACCCATTTTGAAAAAAAATTCCACTAATTTAGAAATTACAGTTTAAAAAACGACCAGAAAACGGCTAAAACACTGAATAAAAGACTAAAAAAGCGAAATAACTTTAAAAATTAATAGAAAAGATCTATATTATTGAGCAGTTAAATTTGCTATCATTATCCAATAAAAAATCAACTAAAAACTGACTAAAAATGCAAAAGTGGCAGCTACAAAAAGACGAGCGAATGACCGAAAAACGTCGAAAAGAGACTGAAAAAGCGAAAAAAAGGGAAATTAATAGCTAATTTTACTAACGACAACAATTAAAACTAACGAGAAAAACAAAAAAACTACTAAAGGCTAAAATGTGCAAAACATTACTAAAATAAACTGAAATTAGCAAAAGGACAGTGTAAAAAACCGACCACAAAATGACTAAAAAACAGTGAACAAAAGAGCGAAAAAGGGGAAATAAATAGGAAAACACATAGAAAAACCAGCGTAGAAAGTAAGACGATAAATAAGCCCAAAAAAGCGAGTGTTACGAGAGCGCCAACTTATACAACAGCTGTTGCGCTGATGTTCGCTCGAAATTCGCCCGCAAACCCCAGAAACTGGCGGTTTTCAACCCATTTTTCCGCGTTTTACTGAAAAACCCCGATGAACAATTCAAAAATTAGAACAATTCGGTCTCCAAACCCCCCAGAGCGCGAACTGCTGCGCTCCTAAAAGCCAAAACTTTTGCATGATGCCAACATTTGCTACTATAAAGTAGGACTGTTTCCTTTCGAGCGTGGACTATTAATAGACAAAGCAGATTAAAACTGCCAAGAATATAGATATTAGACTAGAAACAATTAGATAAGAAATTAGCAAGCAGTCAAGAGCGAGAGGCCCCAGAGAGCTCCAGGGGTCGAAAGGAAAGTGGCGAGTTTGACAACAGCTGGCGCACCATTTTCCACCCTAAACCTGCACCCCGAACCCCAATTTTGCCACAAAATCGCCAAAACTTTCGGTACTTCAGCGAATCTCCCGAAAAAAACCCCAAAGAGCGAAACTTTCGAAAACAAACCATCAATGGAAGCGGAAAATGACCGAGTGAACATCCAAGTTGGTTAAACACCTCAAGTTTAAACATGCTTTAATGGAAAGGCTGAAAGTTCCTTTTACTTACCAATGTTTTGTATTTTCTATTTATTTTTTCGCACACCAAATGTTGATATAGAAAAACACTGACAGCCAGCCGTCATCGATTCACAGCTGACGCGATTCTCCCGCTGCCAGCGCGACGCTCCGCACTGTTGCCAGTGGCCCGTCTGCGCCTACGGGCGCAGTTTCCCGGTGACGTCACCCACGAGTAGCTCGGGTGATGGTTGAAAATCAGCCGGCCAAACCCGCAGGAAAATAGTGAGTATTTGCAGCTTTTCTGGGATCTGTTCGTGCATAAAACACTCGGAAAGGTAAGACTAGTGTAGGTAGATAAAGGAAGTGCCCGTATATATTGGAAAGTGGGGACAATTGGTCAGAACGAATTTTGGCCAAAGCTAGTCTGATTAACGGTTTTAACCATCTCAAAGCCCCAGATCAACTGGCGAAGCCGCATATTGTTGAAAAGGCAAGCAGGAGGACAAAATTTCCAGAATTTCGTCCAAAAAACCGAAAACACCAACAAACGCGATTGCCGAATGTTGAACAGCGCAAATCTCGAACTGTTGAAAATAACTCAAAAATTAATGGGCTCTTTCTGAACGAGCGGCTCAAAAGCAGTCTTTAGTTAATGGAGTTTCATCAGGAATTCCTAACCTTTAAAAAGTTGGAAGACAAAATAGGGAAACGGACGCGATTGCCGAAGGTTGAACAGTTCGAATCTCGAAAATTGTTGAAAATACGGCAAAATTAATCGGGCCTTTTTGAAAGCGCGGCTCACAAACTGTCTTTCATTAATTGAGTTTTATCAGGAATTCCTAACCTTTTAAAAGTTGGAAGACAAAATAGGAAAACAAGCGCGATTGCCGAAGGTTGAACAGTTCGAATCTCGAAAATTGTTGAAAATACGGCAAAAGTAATCGGGCTTTTTTGAAAGCGCGGCTCACAAACTGTCTTTCATTAATTGAGTTTCATCAGGAATTCCTAACCTCTAAAACGTTGGAAGCCAAAATATGAAATCCAACGCGATTGCCGAAGGTCGAACAGCTCGAATCTCTAAAACTGTTCAAAATACGGCAAATATTAATAGAGCATTTTTGAAAGAGCGCCTCACAAACTGTCTTTTCCTAATTGAGTTTTATCAGGAATTCCTAACCTTTTAAAAGTTGGAAGACAAAATAGGAAAACGAGCGCGATTGCCGAAGGTTGAACAGCTCGAATCTCGAAAACTGTAGAAAATACGTCAAACATTAATGGGGCCTTTTTGAAAGAACGGCTCACAAACTGTCCTTTAAGAATTGAGTTTGATCAGGAATTCCTAACCTCTAAAACGTTGGAAGCCAAAATACGAAAACGCACGCTATTGAAGAAGGTTAAACAGCTTAAATCTCGAAAACTGTTGAAAATACATTAAAAATTAATGGAGCCTTTTTGAAAGAACGCCTCACAAAGTGTCTTTTGCTAATTGAGTTTTATTAGGGATTCCTAACCTTTAAAAAGTTGGAAGACAAAATAGGAAAACGAGCGCGATTGCTGAAGGTTGAACAGCACAAATCTTGAAAACTGTTGAAAACACAGCAAAAAATAATGGGGCCTTTTTGAAAGAGCGGCTAACAAACTGTCTTTTGCTAGTTGAGTTTTATCAGGAATTCCTAACCTCTAAAAATTTGGAAACCAAAATATGAAAACGCACGCGATTGCCGAAGGTTGAACAGCTTAAATCTCGAAAACTGTAGAAAATACGTCAAAAACTAATGGAGCTTTTTTAAAAGAGCGCCTCACAAACTGCCTTTTACTAATTGAGTTCCATCAGGAATTCCTAACCTCTAAAAAGTTGGAAGCCAAAATACGAAAACGCACGCGATTGCCGAAGATTGAACGGCTTAAATCTCGAAAACTGTAGAAAATCAGTCAAAAACTAATGGAGCTTTTTTGAAAGAGCGCCTCACAAACTGTCGTTTACTAATTGAGCCTCATCAAGAATTCCTAACCTCTAAAAAGTGGGAAGCGAAAATATGAAATCGCACGCGATTGCCGAACAGCGCCAGTCGACAGAAACCACAGGTGGAAAAAACGGACTTTACTGATACGAATACAGTCGCCTTAACCTAGACAACCTAGCCTAGTTTACAAAAATTCCCAGATCATTCAAAACGAGAGATACGCAACGCCGCATTTACACCGAAATGACGTCATACATACAGGGCAGGCCCCAGTTTCAACTGGCCCAGCGCGACTTCTGCAGCTCGATCTGGCCCTCGAGCGTTTTTGACAGATAGATGACAAACAGTTGCGCCAGCGCCACGCCCAGCGCCACTCCTGCGATTGCGTACAAGTTTCCCTCGGCCCAGGACCGGACTATTTCGATGCATCCGGACGTCCAGATCTTTTTGCCCGCTTCGGCGATCTGAAAATTGGACATTAATGGGACACTCTGGCCTAAAAAAGCCTCAAAATGGCACCGAAAGGGTTTGCGCTCCATAGCCGCACATGATGTTGACCAGTGGCGCGTTCGGGTCGTTTGTGCAGCACGAGAACGGCACTCCGCATCGCTCCACGCTTGGCGAACTGCAGTTGAAATACTCGTTTTTTGACCAGTCCATGTAGCCTTCGGAGCTGAGGCCGCAACACTGAAACTGAACAAAAAATTGGCCTCAAAAAATGTCCTTTTCTGCTTTTGCCTCGGCGGCAAACGCCCATTTTTTCACAGTTTCTGGGGCTTTTTTCGCAATTAATCTGGGAAACTTTGTCAATCGTTCACTTGGCAACCTGGCCCGGAAACCCCGTTGACTTGGACAACGTCTGTCAAAAGAGAAGCGGCTAATTGTAGCCCCTTTTGGAATACAACGTTGCCAGTATCTAACGTCATGTCAGGTGTCGTGTCAAGTGTCAAATCTTAAAAAGGTGAGGTT